ATTAACCTAATGACTAGAAAAATTGCATGTACACGTGCATTTATAGATCCATAGCATAAATTGAATTACGCGCCTGCAATTATCGTGAGTGACGTGAGTGATCGTGCGTGAGTGAGTTTTTAAGCCTCGTGAGCGTGCGTGAACGTGAATAAATCTCACGTGACCGTGAGTGATCGTGACTGAAAAATATGAAAATTTGGGGCACTACTCCAGAGTGTTCACATGGAGTGACTCTCTGTTTATAATAAAACAGTTATTTAATTGAATCGAGTCTTTGATTCACTTCTCAAAGAAGTGCTGCTCTAGTCTTTGGTTGGCATAAACGCCCGGTTGGCCGGACCCGAAGAACTCACCCCGCTTTGGCATAGCCTCCCGGTGCAGTTATATAAACCTAAAACAATTTATCTACTATTCTTAAATATAAATTGATAGACTTATATTTTAGTGAACAGTTTATTGATTTGTTGACAAATATTGTAATCTAATAAAATTACTTAAATAAGAGTTATCATGGAACAAATTAATTAATTAACTTAAATTATTTCTGTAATAAATTATATTTTAATAAGCAGTCTATTATCAATAAAAAAAAGACTAAAAATAATGACCTGAAATAAGGTTTATATCAAAACTAATATCGAAACTAATATTATTATTATTGACGTATTTGGCGTCAATACGGGCGCCGACCCTAACGTCCGGCCCATAACTGGCGCTTAGCGGACGGTTACGGAAAGTCTCGTTACGGCCGTAACACGTGCTCATTATATCGGCCATTAGTGTTGTGGTGCCAGAGTTGTGCTGTACGATTAATATCATGGTAATACAAGTCGTCGGACCAGAGGTGGGAAAAATCCTGTAATAATTGATCTGTAATGGCGTCCAAACGCATGCCGTGTGCTGTGCCTACTGTTGCCATCCATGTATGCATTGTCCATGATATGCCTATTAACATGGTAAATTTTTATAAATTATTTATTAATAATTGTTTACAAATTATATTTAATTCTATTAACACAAGTTATATCAACAATAAATAATTAAACAAAATTTTGTGATTATTAACTGTTAATAATTCTACAAATAAAACATTTTACTAACGAATATTGTTATAAATTATCTCGATAATATAGAATTTAAGTAAAATATACATAATTAATTACTTATAACAGCTAAATCTCTTAAAAACCATTCTTCACGTTTCCATAAACCAAATAAGCTAATTTATCCTATTATTTATTAATCATATTGTAATTTATTTTACAGTCTACGCAAAATAAAGAATAGATTCAACAATATAAAATTAATGTGAATAATTACGTGACAATTAATTATTATTGCTAATACATATTATACATTGCTAATACTCTCACCAATATTTCTCAAATCCAGTGTAATCTCCAAACAGCCGGTCTCTGCCGAGTGATACATTGTCTCCTTGGTCAATTTATTACCACCAGCGCTACCATTACTACCATTACTACTATTACCCTCAGGAAAACTCCCGGAGCCTCCCGACACCGTTGCTGAACAGGTGCTTAAATCCATATTAACGCTGCACTGGCTTTGATTGGCTGCCACTACTTGTATGCGCGGCCGGCGTCGGGTGTCCACACTTCCGGTGCGAGTCTCGGCCAACATCTCCTCCAATGACAGCACATCCCGACCTCTGGATCCGTTACCGTTGTTATGGTAACCCACTCTCTAACTCTTGCCTATGTTTATGTGCACATAATAGATAATATATTCTTAAAGAATAATATAAAAATATGTACCTGTTTAAATGTTATATGCTTTTATATTATTATTTTTATATTAGGTATTAGACTGTACAGATGATTTATAAGTGATGTTTTATCATTCTAGAATGATAAAACTAAATAATATTAGAAACCGATAGACATTAAATTACATTTAAAATTATTTTATTATATTTTAATAATTGTGTATTATTTATTATTTTCTAAATTAATTAATTTAAAATATTAATAATTTTGTATTTGATGAATTGATATACTTAATTAATATACATTTATTGTATATTGTAAACATCCAACATTTTGTTATCTAAAAATAAAATTTTTTTAAATAATTGTAAGTATTAATCAAAAATTAGACATTTTTACTCAAACCTCCCTTGGATGAACCCTCCCTATAATGAACACTTTTATCGTGCAACTGGCCGTTCATTATAGAGAAGTTGCACTGTATTCAATTTAATAGATGTTTTGCATATTTTATATTGGATTTGCATAAGGTGGCTAAAAGGACCATGTTTTAAAATAATGATATAAAATGTGTATCATAAAACTCTCTATAACAGTATACAAGAATTAAATATATTTAGTATTTAAAATTATAAAAATTATTAAAAATATTATTAAAATAAATAATCAATGAATCACATTATATGTCATTCAATTAAAGTAAATTTGACTAAAATGTACCATATTAAACATTGTACTAATTAAATATTACAGTTTTAATAAATATTTTAATAAATCATTAAAATAATTTTTAACCACTATTCTGATATGAATAATGTGGTTTATAAGATTGTTCGGCTACCCCTCCCCCCACATGTAAAATTAATTGAAATAAATAATAAAAACTAACTTGTAAGAATTAAATAAAATTTTGTGAGTATTAACTACTAGTAATACTACAAATTAAACATTTGACTAACGAGAATTGTTATAAATTATCTTGATAATATTTCATTTATGTAAAATAAGCACAATTAATTATTTATAACAGCTAAATCTATTAAACGAGTTTATTCCCGTGCCCATATAACAAATAAGCTAATTTATCTTACTATTTATTAATTGCATTGTAATTTATTTTACAGTTTACGCCAAATAAAAAACACGTTCAACATTATAATAGTTATAACAATATAAAAAATGGGAATAATTCCATTACGATTAATTATTAATACATGCTATTGCGATTACTAATATTTTTCAATCCAAAGTAATCTCTAAATTGATTTGGCTAATTTTCAAGCTGTACATTTAAAGAATATTCGTTTATTGTAATGGTTAGTTTAAATGTTGGGTAGAATAATCGGAATACACCACCTTCGTAGATCTATTTTTAACAATGTAATTTAGAATCACTGATTTATTAAACTGTAATATTATATTATGATTATTTTAGGGTAAAATAACCGAGTTTTTTACCATGACTATTAATATATCGGTGATACTAACAGTGAAAATTTCATTATATTTAATCAAATATTACATTTATATTACACACATATATTTAATCTTTAATATTATATAAACATTTGCATCGTTTAATCTCCAATAAACTACACGCTATAAATTATAATTACAATTAAAAATACAAAAAAAAATTACAAAATGATTAAAATGAACAAAAAAAACATTTAAAAATTAAATTAATTACAAGATATTTATTGAAACAATTTGTGATCGTATAATAATATATCACCGATATATATTTTTTAGATAAAATAAAAACTCTTCACATAATAATCTTAATCTAATTAACATAAATTATTTACTTATTTAACTTCCAAAATCAGATCAATCAGATTTAATAATTTTAAGCTATAAAATAATTGTATATTCGCACCCCCTTCCAACCTCCCTCACTTTTTGGAATTTTATATTAATTTATTTTTAAATATAATAATTAGTTATATTAATTTAGCTAATAAAGTTTTATATTATAAATTAAAAATTAATTTAATTGTTGAGATTAATAGTAGACCACAGCAATCATTGCCATTTAACTAATAATTATAAATGTTTGTATTGTTAAAATAAGTACATGCAGTTATAAATACAGTTTATATAAAAATGATCTGTGCAATTTCCGAACGATCCTATAAACCACATTATTCATACTGAATTGTGGTTAAAAATAGTTTACTTACAACAGCTACAGTACCGCAAATACAATACGTTTGCTACTGTACTCATTGCTAATATTTAATAATTAAAATAATATAACAATTAAACATAGGTTAACTTTATCTTGTTAATTTAAATCTGGCCTAAAGTTAAAGTCATTAAAATTTTATGAATATTTTATCAAGATTGAATATAATCTCAAAATAGTTTAATACTTTTTAAAATACATTAATTGTTTGTTATTTTCCATTCATTTATATTATTGTAATCAATAGTTGAGTAAATTTTGAACACGTTTTCAATACTCGATGTCATTATTAACAGCAAATATTGTAACTAAACTTTGAGGTAATTTAACGCATATATAAGGAGTGAACAATCAATTCAGTGCTCATTAGGTGTTTGCCATTCAAACCAATTGTTTCAATCACTGCTATCACTCATAACGTGTTTTGTTGTCTTTTATTTTTTAAAATTTTAATAAATTATTATTTTTTATATTATACGTGTCTTTCTCTTCTCAACAATTAATCACTTTATCTGATCCAAAGACATGGCTAAACAGATTACATCAATGGACCCATCAATCGGGACCACAGATGACGGAAACAAACAAAAGGTATTTCACAAACAATTTAGTGTTTATTGAGTTTTAATTGTGTTTTTGTCTCACATTTTAGCCTAAGATATACGCAAAGGACTCAATGGACAGATACGGCGACGACTTGTGTGAAGTGGTGTTGACATACCTCTCACTGGAAGACCGATTGCGTTGCGAATGTGTGTCCACACAGTTCCGGAGGACAGCCTTTAAGAGTGTTGTGGACATCGAAATCACTGATTGGCTAATAAAACAAATCCAAGTTTCAAAGCAAACAATACGCCAAACAATGACCGCAATTGCGATAAAATGTCCGAACGTTGAGACCATTGACTGCCGAGAAATAGACTTTCGTCGTGAACAACACATTCCCGAAGTATTGGCCATATTTCGGGACAATTGCCATCATTTACGGAACATATACTGTTATCTGACGCCAAGATGGGGTCAATTGTTGGCCGAATTCGGACCACTGGTCACCCGAATCGGTAATATTATATCCTTTAGAGACTACGCGGCGGTCACTGTTTGTCACCGATTATCACAACTGCGGGTGAATTCACTTCGCGAAGTGTTTGCCAACAATTTTGACATAGGATTAGTCAAACCTGTGCTCAAACTTGAGTTAGACATGCATTACAACCGGACCATAGATAACGACCGCTTGTCTGCATTTGTAGCCCACAATCAGTGCCTCCAGAGTCTGGCCGTAAGGGTTTGTTGGGTTAACGGCGCCGAGGAATTGACCGAAATGTGCGGCCAAGTGTCACGATTAGCGCAATTACGGCGATTGACACTCGGGTTGTTGTTTGGTATACCGGACTCATCAGTGGTTAACCAGTGTTTGCGCACAATTGGCGTGAATTGCAAACAATTACACCATTTGTCACTTTGGTTAAGGTTTTCAAGTAAAGCAATCGACTCCTCACTCCCGATATCATTGGATTCGTTGAGATTTTGTTCGCAATTAAAACGATTGGATTTAGATTTAAATGAGGCCATCGATGACCGGCTGTTGGATCCGTTGCGACACTGCGAGAGGTTAACGCATTTAGAGTTGGATTTGCCGACAATGACAGCAAATGTGTTGAAGGATTTGCATATAAATTGTCCGCGACTTAAGTGTCTACGCATTCGTAACTTGAATAACATTATAGACACCGAGTGTTTGAATCGCATCGCATGTCTACCGGCGCTGAAAACGCTTGTCATTGTAAGCAATCATAACATCCATCTCTTGGATAAGGATTTCTCGGATTTGTTTACCAAATGTGCAAAACTAAAGTCTATTGAAATCATTGAACAATTGATTATAAAATTCTTTTATCGCAAATTTGTTTAAATATCTAAATGTTTATAACTGTCCAAAGTTTTATCAATATTAATTCAATTTTAATATTAACGTTTTCTTTAATTCTTTTTAATTGTAAACTCGTTTTATATTTTTAAATTTTATATTTTTATAAGTTTTATCTAATATCAGTTCTACTAAAATGTTTTAACATGTTTGAATAAATGTTATATTGTATTTTATATGCGAATTAATATTCAATGATTTATTAAATATAATGAAAATATTGAGTTGTATAATTATTATTGTATTAAATTGTATAATTAAATATATAAATATTTTTGAATATAACAAAAACGGATATTTTATTTCAAATATTGAATAATACGTTATAGTTTAAATAATATGTCATATTTTGAATAATATGTCATATTTTGAATAATACGTTATATTTTACATAATATGTAAGAATTGGTTATTGTATCAAATGCTATTCATTATTAATCAAGTTATTCTAAATATTAATTAATTTTTTAACATCATGATAATTAAATTTAAATTTTTATTTTTTAAATATTATAAATTTAAATTCATAGTAATTTAATTTTTAGATAAAAATAACCATCAGTCATTGCTTTAACTATTTTAATTATTATAAAACGTTATAATGTTAAACTAATTATTTATAAATATGATTTTTGGTACCGATCTCAGCCTGCTGCTTTTCAGCGCCAACTGCTGCCTATCCCTACACCGTTACTGCAATGTAAACAACAAGGCCGACAAATGATCCGGCTTATTATTAAACAACAGTTTACTTACAACAGCTACATTACCGTTTTTTTCTACTGCACTCATTGCCGGTGGCGGACAAACAGTGGAGTATTAACTCCTCAAACAGGGTCTCCATAGCGCCTGCCATATAAATAGCCGCCGCCTCGTCCACAAACTGACCCACACGTACGTCGCACAGCCAGCGGTGAAATTTACCCACACTGAATTGTAGACCTGCCCTGGTTGATTTGGATTGCCGGTAAGTGTCGGGCCCACCTGACACGGCAAATATGGCGGCCGCCCGGTGTCCCGATTTGACGCACGTGTCCGCCAGTTGGGCACCGAATAGCACTCGTATAGCGCCGCAGATCTCGTGTTTGGTGCACATCCCTAGTGTATTGTCATGACTCATGAGATTTGACTGTGGTTAAAATTATTAATTTTTTTAATATGGGTATTTAATTGATATGTAAATTAATTAGTTTAATTTTCAAGTTGTACATTTAAATAATATTTGGTTAGTTTAATTGAGATTTATAATATGTGGTAAATTATTGGTCATCTCTCGGATAATGACTTCAGCCATAAACTAAAGTGTATTTAAATAACTTTAAAAGTGCTTTAAATGTTTAATATTTATTACAAATAATTGAATTTTGTAAAAATAACTATTAACACAAGTAAAGTGACAATTAATGGAATTATTATTTTGATAAAAATAAAGGTTTTGTTATTTTTAATTATTTACTTGTATTATATAACTTATAACTTTAATTGCTTTAATTAATAATTAATATTTAATAATAAAATAATATTACAATTAAAATACTATAACTTTATCTTATTAATTTAAATCTGGCCTAAAGTTAAGGTCATTAAAATTTTATGAATATTTTATCAAGATTGAATATAATCTCAAAATAGTTTAATACTTTTTCATACATTAATTGTTAGTAATTTTCCACACATTTATATTATTGTAATCAATAGTTAAGCAAATTTTAAACACGTTTTTAATACTCGATGTCATTATTAAAGGCAAGTATTATAACTAAACTTTGAGGTAATTAAACGCATACCTAAGGAGTGAACATTCAATTCAGTGCTCATTATTTGTTTGCCATTCAATCCAATTGTTTCAATCACTGCCACAACTCATAACGTGTTTTGTGTTTTAATTATTTTTTAATTTTAAAAATTACTATTTTTATAATATACTTGTCTTTCTTTTCTCCACAATTAATCACCTGATCTGATCCGAAGAGATGGCTAAACAGATGACATCAATTGACACATCAATCGAAACCACAGATGACGGCAACAAACAAAAGGTATTTCACAAACAATTTAGTGTTTATTGAGTTTTCATTTTGTTTTTGTCTCACATTTTAGCCTAAGTTATACGCAAAGGACTCAATGGACAGATACGGCGACGACTTGTGTCAACTCATGTTATCTCATCTCTCATTCAAAGACTGTTTTCGTTACGAAAGTGTGTCCAAACAGTTCCGGAGGACTGTCTTCGGCAATGTTGTGGACATCACTATTACCGACAAATTTATACAGCAATTACTGAATGACGAGACAAATGGCACTCAATTGTTGGCCACAATCGCCATAAAGTGCGCAAATATTGAGACCATTGACTGTCGAGGAATAAGCAACAGATATGAAGAACACATTCCCGAAGTATTGGACATATTTCGCGACAATTGCGTGCATTTACAGGACATTCATTGCAATCTATTGCCAAAAAGTGGTCAATTGTTGGCTGAATTCGGACCACTGGTCACCATCGGTAATATTGTAGGAATCGGACCACCCTACAATATCGTGTACTTTAGAGACTATGCGGCGGTCAATGTTTGTCACCGATTGTCACACTTGCGGCTCAAGTGTTCGCTTCACGACGTGTTTGACACCAATTCCGACATAAGATTTGTGAAATCTGTGCGCAAACTTGAGTTACACTCGGATTACACAGTGATTGTCGATAACGACCGTTGGTCAGCATTTGTGGCCCACAATCAGTGCCTCCAGAGTCTGGCCGTAAAGAGTTATTGGTTTTTAGCCGCCAAGGAGTTGACCAAATGGGGCCGACAAGTGTCACGATTAGCGCAATTACGGCAATTGACTGTCGGTATGGTATTGGGTATACCGGGTGATGTACCGGACTCATCAGTGGTCAACCAGTGTTTGCACACAATTGGCGTGAATTGTAAACAATTATACCATGTGTCATTTGGGTTAAGGTACCATGAAGCAATCGAGCCCTCACTCCCCTTGTTATTGGATTCGCTGAGATATTATTCACGATTAAAACGATTGGATTTAACACTATTGGCGGCCATCGATGACCGGCTGTTGGATACGTTGCGACACTGCAAGAGATTAACGCATTTAGAGCTGTGTTTGCCTAAAATGACAGCAAATGTGTTGAAAGATTTGCACATAAATTGTCCCCGACTTCAATGTCTGCGCATTCGTGACTTGAATAACATTATAGACACCGAGTGTTTGAATCGCATCTCAAGTCTACCGGCGCTGCAAACGCTGGTCGTTATAAGCAATCATAACATCGATCTCTTGGATAAGGATTTCTCGGATCTGTTGACCAAAAGTGCAAAACTAAAGTACATTGAAATCATTGGACAATTGATCACAAAATACTTTTATCTCAAACGTGTTTGGAAATCTAAACGTTTATAAGTTTACAAAGTTTTATCAATATTAATTCAATTTAATTATTAACGTTATATTTATTTTTTTTTAAATTGTAAACTCGTTTTTCTGTTTTTAAGTTTTATCTAATATTAATACTAAAATGTTTTAAGATTTTTAAATAAATATTATATTGTATTCAATATGCGAATTAATATTTAATGATTTAATTTACTTTTATTTTCAAAATATCATAAGTTTAAAATTATAGTAATTTAATATTTGATAAAAACCATTAGTGATATTATTTACTAATTTAAATTATTTATATAATCATAAAAGGAGGATGGGGAAAACTATATGTTAATTTGGCTAAAAAAATCATTTTTATTTAACCCTACGGAAAAAAGTTGTCTAAATTGTATCTTGGCCGATTTTTAGTTAAAAGTTAATTCAATGCGATATTCTTTATTATACTAAACATATTTTAAATTAGAATGCAAATAATACACACCAGATGACAATCTGGCCACGAATTCGGCCATAGTTGCCACTATTTTCAGTAAATATCAACTTATTCAAAATTAACATATGATATATGAAATCTATGTAGAATTTAACGTAGAATCAGAATATATCATTATTATTTGCATGGGACATATCATTATTCAAAATTAACATATGATATATGAAATCAATGTAGAATTTAACGGAGAATCAGAATATAGTAATATCACATCAGTAAAATTAAGAGATTTTTTGTAATTTGTGTAAAACTACCAAAACCTATTTTAAAAAAGTTATTACATCATCACCGACAACCACACCACAACCCCGACCACCACCCACAACAACAATAAAGAACGCTTAATTATTACAAAAATTTGAATTTACCTTAAAAAATAATTATTCATTATAATTTATATTTTTCTTCTATTTTAGTACTAATCCATGAATAAAGTTAGGTTTTCAAAACATCATCACCGACAACCACACCACAACCCCGACCACCACCCACAACAACAATAAAGAACGCTTAATTATTACAAAAATTTGAATTTACCTTAAAAAATAATTATTCATTATAATTTATATTTTTCTTCTATTTTAGTACTAATCCATGAATAAAGTAAGGTTTTCAAAAAATTATCAATATATGACGTCAAAATAACAAAAATTGAAATTATAATTGTTAATTTTAAAAATATTTCAAAAACGATATGTCCCATGCAAATAATAATGATATATTCTGATTCTACGTAAAATTCTACATTGATTTCATATATCAAATGTTAATTTTTAATAAGTTTTAATTTCCCGATAAAAGTGGTCACTACCGCCGAACAAGAGGTCGGTCGGCCATATAGATTATATCACTGGACTCCTTATGTAGTGTACTTTCATTTTATATTGTGAAATCCCGGGTGCCAGCTTAGGCAGATCTCGACATCCTCCTTTATATAAAAAATACCTTATTCAAATTAAAGCACTTTTCATTAAAAGTGTTGACAAACTTTCGGTAACATTTTCTGTGATGAAGCGCTTGTTTGCCCTTTAGTATAGCCTCTGTGTCAATCCCGACCAGCAAATTAATTGTGTCTAGGTAATCCTTCAGATTATTATCCACATAGAGTCTTTTGGTTAAAAAGTCCTCTATGCCTTTTAACGCACTTTAATTAACAAAAATTAATACTAATTAAAAAATCTTAATATTGATATAAACTTACCCTAATTTTTCGGCGGTATCCTTATCCGATTCGAGACGTCTTATTAGTATCTCTAGCGGTACGTCCAGTTGACTGACCGATGAGATGACCGAAATGAAATATAATGATAGTAATAATAGCGTAACAAACATGGCGTGTACTTTGTTAATACAATTATGTATTTTGTGTTATTCGTTAGTATTACTAACTTATAATAAACTAAAATGCCATATGGTTATGTTGTGCAACTATTTATATTCATAGAATATGTTTACATAAACATGTTTTAATAATAAATTAATATTAATTAAAAAATTAAAATTAATGAAATTGTGTTTTTTTGTTTTGTTTAATAAAAACAGTTGTTAAACATTTTGTTAATTGTGATTTATTTACAATAACACTCGTGAAAGAATTTAACAGCCCTTGGTTGCTATTAATAAAAGTTTAAAAAATATGAAAATAATTAATTAAAGTTTATAATTAAAAAGTTTGACAATAAAATACGTTTTGCAAAATAAATTTATTTAATTTGTATTAATAATCACATAATAATTAAAATACAATAATATAATAATCTAATAACAATTATCACAACAAAGCATCACATGTTTAAACAATAGCCTCGAAAGTTTTAGCTGAATATTGTTGACACGACTCGACCAAATTTTCAATAGCGTTGTTAACTTGGACTTCGCTAATACTGGCGCATATATTGGCAAAAACATGCATTTTTCTCAATACATAAGAGTTCTAGGTTAGAAATGAATATATTAATTAGTATACAAATTACCATAATTAATCATAAAAATTTAAATAATACATACTTCGCCCAAATTGAAGCAATTTTCGTGGAAAGTGTCGACAAATTTTCGATAACACTCTCCGTTATTGAGCTCTTGTTTAGTGTTTAGAATAGCATTGCTATCGACTGTCAGTAAGTGTTGAATACTATTCACGTAATTATTGATGTGTTTATCAACATATTTTCTGCCGGCGTATAAGCCCTCCAACTCGACAATAAGACTGAAAATCAAAGTAAATATAATATATTAATTTTTGTATCATTTATATAAATATAAACAAGTAATTACCTATTTTTCTCATTGATATCCTGAGCGCTGGCAATAAGTCTCTGCAGTAAATCTATGGACACATCGTATTTGTTGACCGCATCGGTGTTTGAGCCCAAGTGTGGCACAAATCTATCGGCGTTTTTAGGTTTGAGACCTGATAATTAAACAAAAATTAATTAATTAAACCTAAATCACCAGAATTAGATAAACCATTAATGCTACATACCCAAGAACTCAGCCACCTTGGTCTTGGCCACATTCAGATCGCCGTACTGTTGGGCATGGATTTCATGTGTGGTGTTTGAGTGCGGGTTTTGGACGGTGTGGTGGTCTTTGAGGTATTGGTATTGTTGTTGTAATGTCTCGGTGTTAATGTCAGACTGCGCCTCATTGTCCAACCAGTTGTCGGCAAAGAATGAGCCTAGTCAAATAATTAATTGTAATTAACAATGAAAGTTATTGCAATTTTTTCTGTATTTGCATTACTTATATAAGTTTTGTATTTCTCATCGTAGATGTAAAACCAACTGAGCTCGTCGTAATCGGACGATGTCGATGCGTATACATTAACATTGGCGGGCAAATGGTTTCGGAACATTGATCCTGGTTATAACAATATTTTCAACAGGTTAGTTTTAATTTTTGCAAAGTTACAAACATGCAAATATAAATATAAGTACCTGAATCGCATGTATCCAAATAGATTGTGAGCTGGGCAAACTTTTTCTCCTCGTTCAATTTGACCAAAACTGCGTTTAAGTCCTTAGCGTATAAGTAGGACGAGGGGAAAGCAACCAGGTCTATTTGCGAGAGTTAACATTAACATGATGCTAATATAATTAATAAATAATATCAATTATACCTGTTGAGCCATGGTCACCAAAATAGACAAACACGTGATCATTCGGTCCACTCTTAACCACTTTTTTACCAGCAGCAGCTAATTCAGCATCGCCCTGAAGTACTTTCAAAAAGGTCTATAAAAAACAATAACAGGTTACTATTGTTAATAAATACCGTAAACTTAATAAATATGGTTAATTTGTAATTTTTTTTGTCTAGATATATTAAAGTATCTTAATGTTTATATTAACCTGGGGATTGACATCTTTGCCGGTATAATCTTTGGGTACACCCTTATAGACATCAGGACCGCCGATATCGTTGACCACAATACCGGGCGTTGGGTTTTGAGAGTTATTAGCGATATCGTCGTAATGCATGACAATTAAATTGCTCTCAGGTATGCCATAAGCCTTGAACAGATGGTACGCCCGGTAGACAATAGCCTAGTATTTATTACAATAATAATTATTATTATTATTTAATTTTCATATAAATCACTTTAATTTATGTAAAAATGTTTATTTTAGTGTAGACTAAACATACCTGATCACCATAATTGCCCCAACCCCTACTGCCGGCGCACAATACGACCCATTTCTGGCCATTGCTAGCGGTTGGCAGTCCGTTACAGACGGCGATATACAGTACCGACAAAAGTAATGCTACTTTCATTATTATAAAGTAAGTTATTTTAATAAATAAGTTTATTATTAACTAATAATGTTATAATTTTTACTTAATTACTTCTCCTTATATACTTTGCGTTAATCAATACATCTATCATAATATATAAGACCTTGTTGAGATTAGGTAATGAAATTCATTTTAGACAGTAGGTATTTCATACCATGTGCCAAACATTTTGTAACTGATCTTGGTGATGTGTTTATCTCTCATGTGAGACCCACCGTAAGGTTTCCCAGTACTAAATGCCTAGATTTCATGTTATTGTAAAGTACCCTAATGTGTAACACAATATACTTAATATTAGTTCATTACCTATAAATTTTATTTATGTTGTTTAACTATTAAATTATTATTAACCATCATTAATAAATATTATATTAGCTGTTGTGTAATTGTGTTTAAATATTATAATTATTTAATTTAGTTTATAAATAACGAACTTTTTAACTGATATAGTTAAGTAAACATAAATTTATCTATTTACAATTCCAGGTATTTATCACTATTTAATATGTCTGATAATATATAATTGATAATGACATGGATTAACAGTATTAAAGTATCAACGTGATTTTGTTTTGCATAATAGATGTAACATAAATATGTTGCGGTAACTTGTATAAAATAATGAAATTATAGTTGAATATACTACAGCTGTGTATTTCTTAGCTTTGTACTTGATCTTGAAACAAATATAAGGTAGTAGTATTTACAAATAGTGCAATATAGTTAAAGTTTTTCAATCTAAAGTTTTATTCTTGTATTTTAGCATATTTTTAATTAAATTACAAAATCAACATATTAAGCAAATTGGATAAATAAACTTAATAATGTAATTTTATTTGATTATAAATATGTCACTTTAGGATCCATATAACACTGTTTTAACGTTTCAAAACATACCATTATATTGTTAGCATTTTCATTGTTTTTACTAAAATTCAATTAATAAAATGTAATAATTTTAAATGTATTAAATAAAATCACTAGCCCGTAAAACTAATTCCAGAAATTTTAGTAATATGGTAAAACAAAAATTTTAATTTTTTTAAATTCAAAGTTTATTTAGTTAAAATTATTATTTGTAACAAATGCAGATAACAATCAAAAATAATTATATCTAAACAATATTAACAAATTGATTGTGACTATACTGTTGACAGGATTGAATCAATTGATCTATCACTTTAGTCATGTCGGTTGTGTCATTCAGGTCTTCGCACACATTCACAAATACACTAAGTTTTCGCAATACATATGTATTCTATGGGATAATAAATATGTTAAATAAATCTAATTATATATTTAAATAAATAAATGTATACCTGATTCAAATTAAAGCAGTTTTGATGATAAGTGTCCACAAGTTGTCGATAACACTGTCTATTATTGAGCTCTTGTTTAGTGTTTAGAATAGCATTGCTATCGACTGTCAGTAAGTGTTGAATACTATTCACGTAATCAGTCATATGTTTGTCCACAGATTGTCTGCCGGCGTATAACTCCTCCAACTCTTTCATAAGACTATTAAGAGAATAAATTATTTATAAATTGAACTATTTGTTATAAAAATTAGTTAAATATAGAATTTTACCCATTTTTCTCGTTGATATTCTTTGCTTCAGTTACACGTCTTTGTAGTAAATCCAGCGAAACATCCCATTTGTTAACCGCATCCGAGTTTTGCACTAATTTGTCATTTCTATTGACATCCACTTTGGGTTTATTTCCTGTTATATAATATTAAATTTAATTATAATTATAAATTTAATAAATTTTACAAACAATTTTACCTAGAAACTCGGACACGGTGAGCTTGGTAACCGATAAATCACCATACTGTTGTGAATGCACATAATAATGACTGCCGGATATATTAAGCTCACTTTTTGAAGCAAAATACTGAAACTGTTGCCCAAATGTCTCCTTGGTCAAATCGCTAGTACGATCATCATCCAACCAATTATTAGCAAAGAAAGAACCTGGTTAAATAAACAATTTAATATATTTAGGTATTATAAAGAATGATGGTTATTCTATATTTACTTATATATGTTTTATATAAGGGGCTATAAGTGTAAAAATAGCTGAGCTCGTTGTAATTGGATGAGGTGGTGGCGTACACGTTAATGTTATCGGCCAAATGATTGTGAAACATTGAGCCTGGTTAAAAACAATAGTTATGTTTATTTCCTAAAACGTATAATTTGTTAATTAAATATTACCAGAATCGCACGTGTCAATGTACATGGTAAGTTTTGAAAAGCGTTTATTATCATTCATAGACTTTAGCGCCGCATTTAAGTCCTTTGCGTACAAATAACCAGTTGCAAAACACACCAGGTCTATTTCAATAAAACTTATTATAGCATTTTATAGTATTAGCAGTATTATTATGCTTGCCTGTTGAACCATGATCGCCAAAATATAAAAACACGTGATCGTTGGGTCCACTTTTAACAACTTTTTTACCCTGAGCAGCCAATTTTTCATCACCTTGTATTACCCCTAAAAAGTTCTATGTAAAAATAAATAAAAAAATTTTATTAAAAAACATTTATAATAATTTATTATTAATAAACAATTTTTTTGCATTTAATTTTTTTAAGTTTATATAAATGTACTAACCTTTGGGGTAACCTCTTCACCGGTATAGTCTTTGGGCACACCTTTGTAGACATCTGGACCGTCGATCTCGTTGACCACTTTACCCGGGGTAGGATTTCTCTCATTATTAGCGATATCGTCGTAATGCATGACAATTATATTGCTCTCCGGTATGCCTAACGCGCGGAACTGATGATACGCCCGGTAGACAATAGCCTAGTATTTATTATAAGAATATTATAAATTAATTTTCATGATAGTTAATTTAATTTGTATTTTGATTTATTATAGACAAACAGACCTGATCTCCATAATTACTCCAACCGCTACTCCCGGCGCACAGTACGACCCATTTGTGGCTATTGTCCACATCATTGGCGGCCAATTGATCGGCAAATGGCAGTCCATTACAAACAGCGATATACAGTACGGATAAAACTGCAATTATTTTCATCTTGTTATTAATTAACAAAAAGTTTATTTCTTTAAATATTTGCGAGTATAGTTTTTCAATTGATATAGCTTAATTTGAAAATTGTCGCAACTTATATACCATCACAAACTTCTTTGTTATTGTTTATCAAGTGTTTGTTTGTTTTAAAATTATGCTTAAAATATATGGCAATAGGCTATTACCCCGAGCATAATGAACTTTATAACGATTAAATATTTAAGCTAGCTTTAAACTAAAGTACTAAAAGTGTTTTAACCTGTGTTTAATCTTTGAGCTATATCAATAATATCCCACATGAGTTTATATCGGTCATTAAATTTAAAAAAAAAACTCAAGCACAGTTATAAGATTACATTTATATTGTTATGTCAGACATTGATGTGGAATATTCTGATATTGAATTTTATGTTTACTATTTTACACATAAACATAAATAAATAATTTATTTTAAATTTTATATTTTAAATTTAGTTTGGTTTAGATGTGGATTTTATTCTAGTATTTCAGTTATTATTTATTCTGATTTATTTATTATTTTATTATATATATTATTATATCTTTACATTTGTATTTGTAAAGAATAATAAATACTTTATAAATCATTATCAATTGTTATATAAGTTATAGATTAATGTTTATTAAAAATGACTTTAAATATTAGTTAATGTTTAAGCAATGGGGTATTTAATAAATTATACTATTATTTTTAATTAAATATGTAATTTTTATTAATGTTAAAAATATCTGACACAATAGATTTTGCTTTTAAAATATTTATTAAATTATTTATAAATCTAAGTAAAGTAAAACTTTAGACTTCAACATTTAAAAAACTAATGAACTTGATAATATTATTTTTAAGTTATTAGCAAAGACATAAACATTACATATTTGTTAAATAACTGGTGGTATTGACATAATAAGTGGTATGTGATTAAGACAAAGACATTGTTATCAATAAATTTTACGTATTGTTTGCAAACAAGTTGAGGTATCAGTTATTAAATGTGTGATTGTATCTGGCACAATTATCCATTGAACTTATTAAGACTAGTTGTCTAAATAACATATTTTAAATTGCAATAATTTTAGAAATTACAAAAAAATAAACATCCAGGTGGTCTTCTGATAATAGCCGTTATATATTTTAATTTTCTAAGAAAATTATATTTTTCCATTAGTCTATTAGGCATCAAAGTGATAAAGTATCATGTGCTTTTTAATATATTTGTCTTAAAAATCATACGAACTTTTTACAAAAATTACAACATTATCTATTTGAGAGTTAATGGTTGTAATCAGTGTAATCGTACTTGGTATATTTAAGGTATCTCAACAATAGTATATAATAATAGAAAAACACAAATTATTATTTATTTTAAATTATTTTATTATTATAATTAAATAAGTATTGTTATAATAAATACAATGAAATTTGCTGTACTTTTGTCAGTCCTGTATATCGCTGTCTGTAATGGACTGCCATTTGCCGATCAATTGGCCGCCAATGATGTGGACAATAGCCACAAATGGGTTGTGTTGTGCTCCGGGAGCAACGGGTGGAGTAATTATGCCGATCAGGTATAATTAATGCAGTTTGTAATTAAATTAAGGGATATAATATTAATTTTGTTTTTAACCTATGTTAATTAGGCACTAGTATACCGGGGGTACCATCTGTTCAGGTCTTATGGCATACCGGAGAGCAATATAATTATCATGCATTACGACGACATCGCACACAACAAGAATAATCCTAAACCAGGGGTTGTGATCAATAGGAAAGGTGGTGAAAATTTGTACCATGATATTCCTAAAGATTATGTTGGAACCGAAGTTAACCCTGAGGTAATTTAAACAGTTTAATTATTTTTGTAACTTACTAAATTTAATAATTATGCATAATCTTTGTTTATTCATCTAGAACTATTTGAAAGTAATTAGTGGTGACAAAGAATTAGCTGCGAAGGGCAAGAAAGTGGTCAACAGTGGGCCAAACGATCACGTGTTTCTGTATTTTGGTGATCATGGTGGACCAGGTAATTGATTAAATAATGTTTGATTATTATGTGGGGACTATAATTTATTGAACATTATTTTTTAATTTAGGTTTGGTTGCTTTTAACAATGGCAAAGTTTTACACGTCGATGATTTAATTAATACATTAAAGAGCATGCATGAACAGAAAAAATACGCCAAGCTCGGTTTCTATATTGATACTTGCGACTCAGGTAATTAAAATTTTATACATATTAATGTAATTAATTAGCAACAGATTATTAATTATTGATAACCAATTTATTAACTAGGCTCAATGTTTGATAAAGTGCTACCAAATAACATTAATGTGTACGCGGCCACTTCATCTCGTCCAAATGAATTAAGCTGGTTTTTGAATTATGATGATGAATTGAAAACATATTTAAGTGTGTTATTTTATCTTTTATCTATATTTAGGAATGATGTTTATTGTATTTATTAATTTGTATTNTTGTATTTACCAGGTTCATATTTTGCCGATTTTTGGTTGAGTAATGACGAGACAAACAATCTGGAAAAGGAAACCCTTGACCAACAATACGATGATTTGGTTGCTAAGACCGTGAAAGTTCAGCATGCACAACATTATGGTGATCTAAGCATGGGTAAATTGCACGTTGCTGAATTTTTAGGTCATAAGTCTGAGGATGTGTTGCTTGAACGTGATAATACATATGTGCCAAATAATGAAACAGTAAGCAAATGGGATGTGGAGTTGAGTTTAGTACAAAAACGTATTAATGCTGCCACAGAGACCAACGAGAAATTAGGGTAAATTTTATTTTATTTCTAATTAAAAAAAGTTTGTTATATTTTTGAATTTTCTACAGACATGTGGAAGACTTGAAAAATCTATTGAATGGCAGAAAATATGTTGATAAACACATCATTGATTATGTGAATAGTATTCAACACTTACTGACAGTCGATAGCAATGCTATTCTAAACACTAAACAAGAGCTCATTAATAGACAGTGTTATCGACAACTTGTTGACTCTTTTAACGCAAATTGTTTTGATTTGACAAAAGTATATAAATTTTTAAACTTTTTCTAAACTTTTAAACTTTTTAAACTTCTATATAATTTAAAA